ATTGTTCAGTTGTTTTCCGCACAAGTTGTCAGACGCAACTGCGGAAAATAGGTTAATGGGGAACGATCGTCATCGACTACTGTTCCAAAAGGTTATATTCGTAGTTAATGCTTTGAAAGGGTGTCATTGCCAACTACCCCATTGCGAGCTCCAAAGGTTACATAAAGAATATTTCTTAAAGAATAAACATAACCGGGCTCTAAACCGTTTTAATATAAAATGCAAATAAATATTCCACACTTACAGTGTTCATTGACACCTTATTAATATCGGTCGAATCTTACAAACAAACTTAATATTGTAATACAATCAAATCAATTTACCTGCTACGTAAAATATGAGATTGTATAAGGAATCTCATTACGGTTTTTAAAAAACAAGCAATTAAGAAGAAATGTCAAAAAACTTAATAATATTTAATGGTGTCCGAAAAATAATTATATGGCATTTTCGTATTATTATTTCGAACGATTTAAAAAGGTCGAGATAATTAACGTGCGTAATAACAATCATTTTAATGTTTTATATTAAGCCTTTACCGTACAAATTTGCATATTGTGGTGATTCTTTAAGTTTATCGCGTTAATTTACAAATAATTATTGTGCAAATATGTTTCGTGGAATTTTCTCGTATAATGATATCAGATACGTTGTTTGGGTGCTCGGTGGAAGATAGGGTTTAATTATTGTAAATTAAAATAATATATAAGAAAAACACATGGAGTTTCATAAGGCAGTATAGTATGTACTTACTTTAGACGAAAACAGCTGTCATTTTGAAGACCACCACCAAAAGACACGTTTTGTATTCCCAAATGTGAAAATTACAAACATTCATGTAAATATGATAGTGTAGGGGATTCGTGACCTCATTCTGAATACTTGAGTGTTACAGCGTCTATTGACGTCTTCAGTTGACACAAATCTAATGCTACATCATTTATCAAAGTCGCCTAGGTTTATAAGGAAATTATGGAAAGTCGAATGCCATATTTAACGACTTCTTAAACTTTTTCGCTGACTCTCAGACTATCTTCTCATATTTTGCGTTACTTAAATAGCTTTTCAATTAAAGGAAAATAACAAACTTGGTCGAATGTACTAGAAACCGTCTTCACCGAGGAATAACCGCTGCCTTTTTTCAAGAGGCGACCTCTTGATACTGAACGCAACAACTAAGTAGTAACGGATATTTCAGCTTACGGGACATGGCTTACGTCTAGTAATGAATACTGATGTCATGATTTAAAAATAAGTGGAATAGAGTGTATTAGCTAGTAGTTATTCAACGCACGTGAGGAACATAGCGTTTCGTATCAAGGACGAAATGAATGACGCCAAATTTTGGTGTTAAAAAACTTTTTGGAGGTCTTAAGCGCAGAATGGAAAAGTACCTGATACCTCGTACTCTTTAGTGACGCAAATACGTCCTAATAAACACCAATGCGTTTAATTTATCCGAACATTAGCATAGACGTATTTAATATACGACTGAGTCCAAATATTACCGTTTGCCAATTGATTTGCCAAATTTATTGTCCGGTGTCAATGAGCCCGTCTGCTTGCTGATTGAAATGCGTTTCTTCGACTTTAATTCTCTGTACCCAATAATTATATTGGACAAACATTTGTTGAGAGGTGAAAGGTAAATGTTTCTTAAATGAAATAGGTGGAGTATTCGATTGATTTTTTTATCAGCTGCTACTATATACACTTTGGTGATTTTTGTTTTCATTACGAGTGAGCAAAGTTATTAACAAGAAATGCATTGGATTATTCTATTGAGAATATTCCATGATATATATATTTCAATGATAGTAGACGGATCTATAGTACAGGCCTCGGCTTAGTTTAGACTCCAGATCTCCCACAAATTACTAATTTTCCGACAATTTGTCTTGTCAACTCTATAACTTGTTGTAATTTGTGGAGATGAAATAAACTGATTTATACTTATAGTTTATAGTTTAATTTCTACTTATGGCGATATTCAGTAATAGGCAAATTCAAACAACGGGAAAAAATGCAAGAAAATCATTGCGTACGTCCTTAGAGAATAACAGTAGCTAATAGGCGAGATGTTACCAACACATCAGCTCGGCGAAGGTAAGTGATGCGGACGTATACTCCAGTGATTATTAAAGTCTATCGATCGATTTGTCTGGTCACTTCTGTTAGGAATATGATGATTATGATTTTGGGAAAACCACGAAGCGGTAGCAGTTCTTGTTTAAATCAGAATAAAGTAAAATTCATATTAATATTAAAACTAATTTCTTAAATGCATTCCTGTAGTTTCTATGATAGTCTACAAGTTTAAGAACTTTAGCTAAAAGTAGTAATAAGATAGTTAAGAAATGATAAGGCTTTCCCCATCTTGTATTTCTTTTCTCTTCAAGAAAAGCGATGTAAACCAGAAGTTTAAATGGAACTAGGATGGAATCATAGCAAACAATTGATGTTTGATATTCAATATCATAAGTTGGCGAAGGTAATGGCAAAATCTTTATTTACCTATTAGAAAATCTGGCAAGTACTGATGTGACTTCTTCCGAATTATATTTACTGTCTTATTAATTTAGACACTGGCATACAGTGAAGGAAAATATCGTGAGGAAAACTGGATGCCAATTCGCCCTAGAAAACGTGGTTTGTGTCGGTGGTCGAGGTGTGTGTTTAGCTTTATTCAACAGTTGAGGTGTGCGTGTGCAATGCTCAAACCTTCTCCGTGTTATAAGAGGCCTTTGCTCAGCAGTTGGCACTTATAGGCTGATGATGTTATGTGACGTGAATACATTGGTCTTAATTTCAAACTCCTGAACATAGTGAGGTCACAGATCATTTTAAAAAGTGACAAACCTCAGCAATGCTTTCCAATCAAACCAAATGAACAGTTTGAAAAACAGGATATGTATAATGTAAACTAATTGAAATTCATTGAAAATAGATTCGTTTAGGACAGAAAAGTGTATGGGGCGGTGGGTCCTCCATCCTGACTAATAGCACTATGATTAATATCCCGGATACAAAGTGTAAGGGGGAACCATTGCGGTACGGAACTTTCACAAAAATATTGTCATTCTAATATGAAATATTATTCGCATGTGTAAATAGTAATAAGGGAAAGAAAGACATTAGAAAAAAAATTCAGTTTGGTCAATAAGTATAAGTATTAAGATTTTAGAGATATTTTTATGATTGTAGAGTTAAGCAACATAATTAAGGGTGTAAAAAATTCATGTCAATCATTGTAGATGTCTGATAAATTTTAATCTTAATCGTCAAGTTGGGCATTTAGGCTGGAGATATTTATTAGAGAACGCTGCTTTTTGGTCTCTGTTACAAATTCAGTCCTTTATAGTCAACTTTTACGAACACCCCGGGAAGAATAAGAGTGTTGAGTTGAAATTAAGAAATATATTTATTTTGTCAATAACTTATAATTCGAATATCGTCCAGCATCGTTGGTTAGACAAAAGAGGTTCGATCTGTCCCTAATTATTGTAAGTCTGATGGCTGAAGGGTATCAGTTGTGGCAAAATCATTATTGAATCTACGTTGAAATTCTCAGAGACAACCAAGAGACTAAAGTCTAGACTTTGACTAGACTGCTTTAATGCTATATTGGTGTGCATATTTTTGGCGTTTATCGAGTGTGTTAACGTTGAGTTCGTTACGAAATTTACAAATTATATATGTATGCAAAACCGCATACATAAAAAGACAAAGTGAATCAAGACAGCAAGTCGTAATTAACGAAAAGCCGAAATTATTATGACTGGGATCAATGCAACAGGAAATTATAACTATGTCGGTAATTATTAAAGTTAATTATTTAGTGCTTTAAGAATTTTTCGTCAATGTCAGAGGAATAAACAAAACTGAAACTCAGATAATAATAAAACATGGAAGGTATTTATTTAATATGGAAGATTGTAGTCGATAGAAGATATTTAACGAATTAAGGAAAGTTGAATTATGATTAGATTTTATAAGAACTTCTTATAAAATATAAATCATAATTCAACTTTCCTGAAGTGTGAAGGAAAGAAGATCCATCACTGTTTTGAATCTTCTCTTCTTCTAAGAGGTAGACAGAAACAAGTGGTACTCTTACTAATCTTTTTGGATTTTTAAATAGAGGTTAAATTAAATGCATTAAAGCTTCCTTTCCCAAAATGAAAACAAATGTGTTTAAATAGTTCCAATACTTGTAGCGGTCGACGCGTAGTAAGTGATAAATAAAGAGTAATTGAGAGACGGAAGCTACCAATGAGTAAATCTCGTCCGTCAATTTATTTAAATTATTTATTAGTGGTCCGCTATAGACACCCAACGATCGGCGGACGGACGCCCCTGCTGATGCAATTATGGCGGATGGATACTGTTATCGATATCCACAGATGTACTTGCATTGCACAGAACGTGACGATACATTCTATTTCACCATCAACAGTAATTCTATTAGTAATAATTTGGTAACTGTTTTTAATTAGATATTGTGGGAATTGGCATATTTTCAGCACCAAACTAAGAACACTATCTTTATTCAAATGTTTTACAAAAACAATAGTCACTGTAAAGCAAACAGTAATTTTGTCCTCATCTAGTTCATTATTTCAACCAGATCACGGCACCACAGAGCCATCAACTAAACAGCAACAAAAGACCAAATCACATCCCGAATTAGTTAATTTGTACAGACACAACACAATGGATGAGGAAATAACACATACACCCACATCTACGTATGTATGTACCGGGAGATTGTAATTGGCGTAATTGGTCGAATCTGGACGCACTTAATAATGTCCCATTGTCGTCATTCAAATGGCAATTCATCGTTTGTAAAAGATATGATTCATTACTTTTAAATTAAAAAGTTTGACGCACCAAGCGGGTGCAGTGTGCGAACCTCTCGCTAGAAGATATAAGTAATGATGAAAGGAATTAAAGTTGGATTGAAGGACATTATTGAAGATGCAGTGGTCTAGAAGAATTCATCGGTTCTTCTTATAACTGCTGAGGAAGAATTGATCGCGGCTTGTTACATGGGTCCTTGTAGACAGACATTTTTGAAATAGGCTATAATTGATATTAAAAACATAGAAACTAGTTAAACCTTTGAATGAAAAAGAAATTTATTGAAGGAAATCTTCCGCAACCGTTGCTTACCGGTGACATTACCATGGCGGTTAACGTGTTAATAGAAATTTCTTGAAAAACAATTAAATTGTCTTATCTGCTCCGGAATTCCGCACAACAGTTTGTTGGACTTTTTTACAACCCTGATGGATACATACATTTCTAGATGTAACACTGTTGACGAGGATACATATTTGGTCAAGTTCTGTTCCTTGTAAGAACAAGGTCCGGACCAACATAATCAATATTATCCATTTTATAAAACAAAAATTAACCTTACAAGTAAGAAATAATGAGTGTGCCCAGGCAAAAGACTGGACAGTTTTAGGAATAATATAAAATGAACTTACCCATTAATATCAGTGACGGACCAAAAGTGTCTCAACACAGCTTTGGCAAGCAGGTACCAGATCTGCGTCCACACCCACGAGGACTTATCTATGGAGGCCGATAGAAACTCCTTGGTTTCTTCATCAGGGTACAATTGGACGAACTTCTTGATTAGCTCGGGGCACAGCCGATCCTTGTTTACACGGTACCACTGCAACAAGACACTAACCTGAGTACCTTCGCCAATAGGTTTTCGCACAAACCCCTTATTTAGGAGCTATTTTGACAAGAAATGCTCTGTACAGCGTTAATAAATTATGATTATCTTCCGCTAGCTACTCTTCAGTTAATTACTCACATAATTGCCTAAAATTGTTCGAAAATCTCGCAGTAATATGATAATTACACCTCCAGTATGAGGATATTGGAGCGTGGGGTGGGGTAATTGAGTTTCGTTTCATGAGCCTGTCGTAGTCGTAGTCAGATTAGACAGCGTTGCTAAGCATTTCCATAATTAGTGCAACTACATTGCCAAATGATAGCAGTAATTTACTACATTTCATACACATAGGCTTTAATATAAAGCACAAAACGCAGATCTAGATGAGACGTCTAAAGTAAGACATGCTCCGTCTACAGCGTTACATATTAGTAATGACATGATTAAAGGCAAATCGCAATTTCTTCCTCTCGACCATTATACAAATTGATGTTTAACAACCCATTGCAGCACTTCTTAATGAAAGCATACAAAAAAGAGTAATCGAGTGCAAATAAGAGAGTGTAGTATGAAAGGAGCGTGCATCTCGTCACCCGTTGTGTGTTTAAGTCAGCCGCAGCGGCCCTACAAAGGGCAACGCGGCGGCTGTTAATTTCACGCTGCCTCGAATTAACATTTCTTTACGCCACAGAATAATGACGAATTAAAAAACTTCTCGCCTCTACATGTAGCCGTAATGATGCCGGGCGACGAGCGAGACGGACGATGCGAACTCATCAGCCCAACTTAATTAATGCCAGATCTGTCTTTGTATTAAAATCGAACGGCGGCCGTATAAAAAATTGGGAAGGTGGTACTGGCTGCATATTAAACAACAGGGTTCTCCGTAGAGTTTAATTACTGCGTGTAATTAAGGTCCGTATAATTAATGTAAGATAGCAATTATAATATCAGGATTTTTTGTCTAATTGGGATTCTAAATTACGGGTTATTTGATTGTGAGTTGCGAATTTTAAAGTAAAAGAAACATAAGTTTAAAAAACTTGTAAAGTGTTGAAGTATAAAGCCGACGTAAATAATTGTCAAAAGGACAGGAGTGAACGGCATTTAAGAAGAGTGACAAATGTGGAGTTAAGTGACAGAATACAGCTTCAGAAGGCGACACACGGAACTCCAAATTGTCTAAAACCGGTAGTTGAAACAATCGTCACGGCAAATCGAAACGTCAGGCCGGGAGCTCGTATTCAATTTTATAGTGAGTTCGACTCGGAGCGGCGATAAATGATGGCCGCCTTTACTTTGTGTAATACAATCAATGTTTTATACTATTATTCATCCGATTAGACATCGCTTTTTCGTTCGGCTACTACTATTTCTAGTTGTTTTTTTATGAACTAGGATATTTTAGGAGTTGGAACAGCAGGTGCAACGAATTAATATCTGAAGTGTCTTAATATTTATAGTTTGTAATGTAAACGAATTATTCCAAGCCAATACGTATTAGAGCAAGTTGGTATATTGTCGACTGATTGAATTATGTACAATTCCTCTTCAAACTGTCGTTCTCAATCTTGATTTGATAGTCATACATACGGTTTAGGAAAAGTAAAATGATAGCATAACCATCTAAAACATTTTTACGAGGAACGGCAAAAAGTATCGTAAAAACCGATGCGAATAAATATTTAGTACCGAATACTGATAGCGAATCACGTTGGTGATTATGCAATGCGCCGTCTTTACATTTAAAATAGCCTGCATCGGAACTACGGCATTCGACGAGGTAAATTCTCCAGACAGAATACAAAACGTGGAAATTTTTTGAATATTTGAAGTCCGAAGAATCACCAATGATTAAAAAATATTATTCAGTAATCTCTTATGGCATTCAGTTTAAATTTTATTAATAGACAACACTGGGTCTTGTATCAAAATTACGAATAATTTGCGTGCTGTTTCGAAGATGATAGAAAATTATAGTCTGGCTCTCGCCGCGTAAATGGTGGAACAATCGAAAAAGAAGAAATGTGTTTAGTATTGATTAAGGAACAAACCATGCATGTTTTGACTAAACAACAAGATTATGTCTTGAGATATTGGTGGCTTTGTGTTTAGATAAATTAAAATGACAGAATTTAAAATTTAAAATATGGTTTATACTTCCTTGTTATTATATCTTTGTTATTTCACAGACAAGAGTAGGTACCCATCCATTTATATTATTTATGAGAGTCTATGCTTAGGATTCATTTTCTGCTCGTGTAAGTTAGATTTGCATGAATAACAATTACCTGATTTAAAAAATCTACCTGTTGAGGAAGACAAATCGCGGATGATTTATTCAATCCATCGAGTTATCGAGGTCGTGTCCATGTCTTATTTATTTTATACTGTCTATGTGGGTTACCAATATCCGTACAATGGTCAACAGGTCACATGAAAATTTTGCTTTATTTTATTCTCGTTTGTGTTTCACACTTGTCATTTGACCAGTCATAGCCTTCAATGCGATCATTATACTCGGCTGACTCGTTAGCGCACACACAGGTCAGTGGAGGCGCATCCATGGAACGAATGGAAGGATCCAGCTCCTTTATCCAGCGGTCGTTCGCCTCCAGCTAATGAATCAAAGCCCTTAGTGTGAGCATATTGTCAATACGAAGCGAAATATTAACGCTGAACGCGCTCTGCTCGCACAATGCCAGATTAATTCCCATTTAAATGTGCGAATAAATGGCAGAGCAGCGGCCATTTAAAAGCAACCGCTTCGGCCGGTGACGTTTTGTTTGACTTCTACACATCAATTCTCCGATAGATGAATGGAATGGTGAATAGATGTCTTTGAAAGCTCAATCATACAATTTGTCACGACATCTGCAGTACATAAAATTTCCATATTTGCCGCAGGTTTAATGTATAAATAACGATTATTGAGGTAGGTCTGGAAACTCATTCAAGATGTTAAGTAAGATTAATAAAAGAATAATATCACATGACAGCGAACGTTCAGGGCGTGTTGGGATGAGTATATAACACTACGTTTTCGAGCTAAGTGGCGCATGGGATCCCGGTGGATTTGCCAGTAAGCGGCTCGGAAGCTTGTTTGCCGGGCGCTCCATTAAAATGGGATCAGGCGGGATGCAGATCGCTTGGACGTACTGCAAGCGGGACGCATGAGCTACCGCCTCCAGGATATACGACGTACAATATTGATTATACCAAGCGCAGAGTATCTGCACAAAAAGTAAATATATATTTGAGATGTATCTAGTACAGCAAACAATGTTTGTACCTTGCATGCACCCAATTGCATGATTGGAATACAAATTTAATATTATATTATAAACATTAATCGTAATTAACAAATGCAAGAATTGCGCCACTTTGCTTCCTTGCATGCATTTTTACTGTAGTAACCAATAGAATTAATATTTTCGACCTACAGCAAACCGATATTGGGTAGAGAATAAACTATAGTAATAGCCCAAGGCTCGGATTCATAAGAGCGATACTCTCAATTAAAATCCTATGCATGACTTATTGCAGCGAAACAATTGATTTCGATTAACACTCGACAAAGCTACTAAACAATAAAGCATTCTATCAGATACGCATATATTTTAGCAGATTTATATGTTCACGTGTTCAAAGACTAGCCCGCAGAAACGAAAAAGAATGGACAAATTAGAAAGTGTAATACATTCTCGATAGGTATAGGACTTGGGTTAGTACCTATCTATCTCCGGCGTATATCTCCAGTGTGATTACATATTATTCCAAGTTTTAAGAAAATAAATCTCTGTCGAAATAAGTTTACCTTTATTGAGTTAAGGGATAGTAGGGCCAAATTGTCTAAATAAATTACTAAAAACAAAAGCTGAAGTGATTTGGCACGACAACCTGTTTTGTATTAGTAAGTAGCTTGTGTTGTAGCTACATAATATTAATTAATATTCCAACTGTTTTACTGATCTTTGTTCTATGGCATCACGAGCAAGCCCAGGGGCAACCATTGCGTAATTGTTTTAAACTCGTCTTTTAATTGTTCTATCGGGGGTTGGGATTTATGGGCCGACGTGATCTCAAGCCGTAATGCCATTCACATTCATTTGCGCTATTATTTCCGCGTAGTCGGACCATGGGAATGCACCATCTACAAATTTAATCAACTAACAATTAATTGGAACGCTTTGTCAGACTATAAAGTAACAATTTATTTATTTGTAATAACAATTTGTTTCAATTGTGATTAACAATTAATTTAACTGCCTCGTTTTAGAATTATAATCCACGCGAAATCTTGAATGAGGATTTTGGATAACTTTTTGTATGAATAAGTGGGCGTTATACATGAACGATATTGGAATGAAAGTATTGGAGTTGTATGAGACAGAACGTCATCTGCAGCGTGGGCACGCGTTCAAGAGATTTACGAGTGTATTTAAACTGGTTTTACATTAAGCACCAACTTGGCCGATTTGATCGTAAAATCAGCCGTTATGTTTCGAGACAATATCGTCGCTGGTTACCACCCAAGCGGAGGACTGTTAAATTAACTTCGGGTTAACTATGGGTCACTACTTCGACGAAGCTCATTGATTGAATTGTGGTACGTCTGTTACTGATACATACTATACTTATCAAGCTCTATGCTATCAATATACGTGCGTATTCAACAAAGTTCGAATTTTCGATTCGCCCATCGAGTTTGTAGTACAATAAAGTTGTTTGACGTTGAAGGTTGTTAAAATAACTAGTGTTTATTTAAGGTGTTGGAATGGAAATTACTGGTCGGCAAAGAGCAATTAAGCGCGCTCACGCCCGGCCGATTGTTCGGACTCGATCGTCGATGGCCCCACCCATTGTCCGCTGAAATTAACAGTGGCCGTAAAAAAACACGTTTAACGAAACAGTCAAGCCAACTAAAGCGTTGATAAAAATATTTTAAACGATTTTTAGAAGCACTCTTGTAGAGAGCCGAGTTGAGATAGATTGAGGAAAATAAAGATGCATTTCACTTTTGAATCACATTCTAGACCATTTTCAGAAAAAAGATACTATTTCTTGTGGAGACAGACCAGACAACCACACTCCTATTTTTGTGAATACCTATACCAGATCGCCTTTGTTCCGTTTGTAGGAAAAACTACAACCAACAAACAGCTTCTTAAATTGTGCATTTAATTGGGAACGCTGTCCACAGCAAAAAAAAAAAAAAAACAAAAATAAAGTTAACAAGTCAAACTTTAACACTTGTACAAAAGTTTCTGAAGACTATCTAACGATGTTTAGTCAGTAGATCTATTTAAAGTTATCAGTCAGAAAACCTTTGAGCAATATCATTTGTTTGGGACGTCACAATATCCTCCCATCAGAGGCCAATCGAACTGCCGTTGATTGAATTGATTGAAAAAGAAATGTAGAGGGGGTGTCGAGGCCGGTGCCTGGTCCACCGGTATTTTTATAGCCTGTACACGTCCCACGACGCGAGGGCGACACATTCTCGACGAGGCGACGTTTTTGCTATGCCAACTTTCATTAGACACCGCGCGCCGCGGGACTGAGGCGTTTCCTTTTAATAAATGAGTTATGCGTTTATATCCAAGATGGCTGCTCGCGTTATACCACTAGGGTGTCAAGAATGTTACGATGGCCGCGAGCTTTTTGACTTATACACTTGCATTGTTCCAGAAAATATTGTTATAATCATCTTATTGGGATGCCGGTTATTAAGGTTCAGCCTGCGCCACCAGCCAACTGTGCCATCTAATGAACTACAGTTTTCGTTCTCTTAATTCAATTTTTTACTGTCGAGCAACAGAATTTAGATTTTAACAAAGTAAGTAAATAAATTGTACAGTTCTTTGGGATGATGCGTAGCTGTCAATGCAGAATTCATCAAAAATGTTTGTCGGTATTTCCACTTTCGGTCGGCACGTATGTAAGTACGATCTTTTTGTTAGCTGTAAATGTCCTCAAACTCCGCCAGGCCCGCAGTTGTCAACTTTTCGTGTATTTATTTACTCATTCATACATTTCTTGTATGTCTGTCCTTTTGTTTATAGCTTTTCTGTGCGTCTGCAGACTCCTCTTGCAATTTTATTTCGGAAACGTCTGTATCATAAAACTTGATGTCATAAGTCAATTTAAAAGCAGAATAACATTTATTTTTTAATATAAAGCTCTAAGTATTTAAACACCTATCAAAGAGACGTTCTGCAGACTGGTTTATTTTTTAATCGAGATTTATATTCGGAGTCTTTTAGGAAATAAAATAATCACGGCGGCGTTGATTTGCATACAATGGTAAAATAATTTTACGCGCGTTTCGCAGCGCTTAATTCTACTTTTTATTTGGCCTTCCGCGCCCTATCTACGAATCAAACAGACTGCTCGCGCGCGCCCATTTAAGTGTTAACATTTTTGAGAAGTCTTTCGAATATTTTATGGATTGTACACTAACAACGAATTCCATCATATGCCTCTTCATTTTCACTCATATCATTACTTCAAACTGAACTTATTTTTATAAAATGCTTAGTAAACGGGCTTTACTTGGTACATCATTATTTTATACTAAGATAACTTTTAGTAAAACCTTGAGTAGGTTGTTGTACGAGTGGGTTTTAATAAAAGTGACGGTCCTATCGGCTTCAAGCGCACCCGCCGAGTGAGATGCGGCCGCGGCAGACTGCGTGGCGAGGTCGCGACTCGAGCGTCCACCGACATCGACAGCCGTCTTGGCGCCGCCGTCTACCCCACAACATACCACATGCATAAACAACCTCTTAGTTCTAATAATGCTAAAAATAACCAATAAATATATTGGTTCCAATCATAGATGTTACGAAAAACATTTCGAAAATTATTTTCTAGCAGATAAAATTTACATTCAGAGCAAACATCGGCCGTCATAAATTCACCACAAAAGTGCGAGCGACGGTCGACTAGCAACAAAAGGGCATGACTTTTCCCGCAAAAAAAGATGATCCTTAATCTGATTAAATCTCCATCGCGGCGGACGTCGGACCGTGAAAGATTAATGAATATTTGTGCGAGGATTCCCGGAGCTGGGCTGGCACGTACTGCTGTCATAATCATATTAGCCGCGACCGCAGCCCGGCGACCGGAGGCTGGCTAGGCACGCACGCACGCACCGCGCACTTACTCCACTACTTACTCTAACTCTAAACTTACTCTCCTACCTGCTTGCTAATACTGATATTTGTACTCAATATCAGTATGAAATCTGTTATGATTATGGCCGTAAACCAGTAGTGCAAGTTTTGAGCCAGTGTCTTACTTGGTGAAACATTCACCATATTAAAACATACATTAAAAATAATAATACAGTCTATAACAATATCGATGGCTTGGCATAAAATATGAGAGCTAATATAGAAGTAAATTTAGCATTAGCATTTGAAATATTTAGAAATATTATCCACAACTACGAGTGCACTAGTATGATATACGAAACGATCAAATATATCTAAGAAATTGTTCACAACAATCTAAACATTAAGACATTCAAAACAATCGCACCATAATTGCCAATTACAATTGGCAAATAGAAACAGAGCTACAAGTAAAATTTATGACGACATTATTTTCTAAGTAAAATTTATTTGCTCAATAAAATAACAAACAAGACAAGATGCAAAGATATATCTTTTTAATTTAACATTTTGTGTTAGTGTAAGTTAATAAAAGGATCTTATTACCGGCGCCGATGTACAAGTAAAACTCATTATAATTTTTAATACGTCCTTCTAGACATAAAGTAGCGATTACAAAGATGGCGTAGCGAGCGATACGCAACGCGTTAATGTAAGTGTTTCACAATATGAATTAAACATTGAATTGTGTCCAGGCGGACTCTTTATCTCATACCCGGCGGGGCATCGAACACATTATGCCATCGACTGCGCTAGATTTTTATTACATATGTCCTAGAAAAACTTTAAAGCACTAACGCAGGCTTCCCATGACGTCACACCTATCTACCCTCGAACAGCTCGCGATATCGAAAACCACAATTGAAATTAACGCATTTCGAGTGAGCTCAATAAACACACTCGTAAAAGAATCAATTGTTAAGACCCGAAAGAAATTAAACGTGAGAATGTATTGTTTCATACAAGCGTGAACAAAACGAAAATCGTTGTTTGCGTTAACCAGCTCTCAGGTCGTTTTCGACCTGCTTTCGTGAACATAAACCGCATTAAATAAAAGCATTATTTATGACGTCCATACTTCGAATTGAAAAAGTAAATTCGAGTTTGAATATTCAAATGGGCCCCGCTGCCTATAAACCTAAAATTATTATTTGAGTTCGATGAATATTTGTCATCTTCCAGACTACAGTTGCAATGGTAGATTTGAAAATACTTATTATTCCGACTCGTATTATTTTAAATTACACGATATTGTCGTCGTGGTTCGTTTTGAGTAAATTGATTCATTATTGAAAGCACTACCTCTTTTAAAGAAATAACGTTGACCAGTTTTTTGCTTTACGAAAAGAGTTATACTGGCCACGTTGATACTTTACGATATTCGCTCAATACAACCCAATTGAGTGTGGCTGGCGGGAAAAAATTGCAGATGGTCACTATATTTAACATGATGCCGATTAAAATGTTGACATCAATGAGCTTCGTTTCACAATGGCCGTACTCATGGAACATATTTGGAGTTGGTAACGTAAGGGCGGTGGAGTGTTGGATTGGTAATTAATTATTAGTTATGGCTTGTGGCGGCTATAAAGCCGTGCTCATCAATGATTCAGGCGAGCAAACAAAGCGAGCGTGCACCGTGGGCATTATACGCCATAAGACATCATAAACGGAGCACCATCATCTGGGCTTATAAAAAATTCATGCTCATCTCACATTTCGGCGCCCCTCTTAATTTCGCGTGAGCCTCTTCTTGGTTCGTGTAAAAACTTCGGGTGTCTTTTTATGACTTTTACTGCGGTATAATTGGGGTGGGGCGAGCGCTCGCGTCCCCGAGGTGACATAAATACTACCCCCTAACTCCTCGCTTCCAACTACCCAGAGTTAATCTCATGTAAGGCAACACTCTACGGAAGGAGATCGCATTAAAACGTCGTGCCAACCACAGGTTAAATTACTCAAAACCTGAACTGGTATAAAAATCCACAGATAAAGTAGATTTAATACTAAGAAAACTTAATTATGACGTAAACACGCTGATAATCTTAAAGTTATGGGGCATCCTAGATGGGTGCGTTGCTAATGCATTTTGCATGTCTTTGTTAACCTTTTAGTCATCGCGTACCCATCAACAATCTTGCCACTCTTACAGCTCTATAACAGCAGGCAGTAAATGCGATTTCAATTTTACAGAAGCAGCAGCGGTGTGCGAGGTGGCGGGACGCGGCCCGTACTCGCGTGCATGTGTATATTTATTTGCAAATTCCGAATAGCTTTCAATATGTAGAGACGCGGTGACTCCCGCCTGTCGATCCACTCCAATATCGCACTCCTTGTGAGACGTCACGAAGGCGACGCCATTATTCGATGCGACGATTGACTCACACGGGAGCACCGCCTCCTCAGGACGCCGCATGATAGATGAGACCCAAAAAACATATCCGTAATTGAGATTTCTATTACAGAAATTGAAAGCGATCAGTTTTTTCATGTTTGTATACATAACGTGAGTGGCGTTGGCGACAGAGCGCTATCGCGTTTCGGAAGTGTTCGCGGACGTCAATTTGTATATTGTCATTATTAGACTTGGCGCGGAAAGTTTGGGTGCGTTCATCCATCATGGTGTGACGGCCGACCGGTCCGATATCGCGCCTAATACGTATTGATTTCCCACTTAGCGTTTTTCTTGGGAATCGCGGCGCTCCACCCTTCCGCCGTCCGGAGGCCTAACGAGCTGTTTGTCCTCTACTTGCGGCAACTAGGGCGGTTGACGCTCTACGCTTTCGTGTCGTCTAAATTACTACAGTGCAGTAGGATAATCAGAATATCGACAGATATATTTCTAGACGAGAATTTAATTATCTTGGAAGATTTTTATAGACATTGATATCTAATAATGTTAATGTTCTTTCAGTAAGATACGCTTATGGGATAAACACATGTGTTTATGTATGACAATGGAAGGGCTGAAATTAATTGAAAATTGAATTATTTTTATGTTTTTCGTTTAACTAACATGTCTTACATGGTTATAACATTTGGAAAAAGTATTCTACATTATTTAGTATTTTGTGTGTCACTGCACGCAAATAATGTTCTTTTCTGATACGAACGATGTCGGTAACGAGGAAGCTCGTATGAGATATGATGTAAGCAAGTGAAATATTTGTGTAGGTACATTTGCCTAAATGCTGTAGAAAAAGATTTCGTCACCAAGGTCCCCGGTGGAGGTGGAAGGGGGGAGGCGAGAACAATGGTTTCGGTTCTCACACGTGTGGAGGATTATTTGCATTCGGAAATAAAGAGAGGAATGATAAAAGAAAGGCGCGAGCGAGGTCCCACCGCCTCAGGGTGGGGTGTGGGAAATAGGAGACAGGGGGAAGGGGTGCGGGGGTGGCACTGGTGGAGGGGGTGGGGGCTCGTTACGCGAACAATGGAGAAATAATGTACAGATTGCAGTGAGCGATGCGCCCAGCGCGACTCAGGTGTCTTAGCTCAGTGTGTGGACATCACGCCTCCCGTGCTCCGCGCAGCGAGCTTTATCTATGTTTGTAATACATAAGCGCCGTGACAGTAAATAACTATTTGTATGCTACAGCGCCCGCTAAGTGGTGCTTAAAATAATACCTGCATTACTTAATAGGATATTTTATTTATTTGAACGCAAATATACTACGTACATAATATTAAGTATTTCATGGCTACGGTAATTATGTAGCGTGACTGTGTTATGAGATCTTATATTATGGACTAATAAAATACAATTACAAGATATAACCCGGCTTGTTGCTAGTTAACAGTTAATTTACACAGAATTAAATAAAGTTCATGACAACTCTGTTTGGAAGTCATAAAATACATTATCAACATAACAATGTCCGAGCATAAAGTGTAAAGCGACATTTTAATGGCACCAGCTAGCTGGGCTACGGGGCAAGGCGGGCAAGGCGAGGCCGTTTAATATAGGACGTGTTCATAGGAAGCGCAAGCAATCACAACACAATCACCCCATCCTCGCGTGACACCGAAAACGTCCTCGTTCATATAAGTATAAATTAATCCATTTAGAGCGAGCGACCGGCACCGACGGCGACCGACGATTAACGGAAGCTTCTACTTAACTAATTTATCCTCGGGTGGTTTTAACAGAATGGATAGCAGTGATTACGGACGATGGCGACGATCTCGTGTGACGCTCGAGTCGCGCCGGAGATGCGCGTACGCACACATGGGTGGACCGCAATCAAACGTTATTCGTTACAATTGTTGGATGTATAACGCGGTTTAACAATGATGAGGATCGATCACATGGGATGATGGTACTGTTTTGTAACGCACTTGTTGTCTCTAGACCGCTACATACAATTTAGTTGTCGATTACAAGCTTATAAACTATTAGGATGAGCTAATCAACATCATTTTATTCGAACAAATCAAAGCAATTTGTATCACCAACAGAACTCGTTATAAAATATTTACCTAATAAATCAACCGTAATAATTCTTTGAAATTCAGAAAACATTATTATTCTAAATCGGCTTTACTATAGTCAAATGTTTGTAATCCAGCAAGCCCGCGACATTTTAATAACATTGATCAAATAGAACAAAAGTATGTGGACCGAGCACTCGACAGAGATGAAAGTTAAAAGGGTCGCGAGGGGTGTGTAGGGAGGTGTGGTGAAAAGGGAGGAGCGGGTTGAATGTCTTATTCCCTCCACAATTCAGAGGTATTTCGTGTTCTTCATACGCAAATATATCCTCGTTACGGAGATACACGTGAGCCTACGATTGCGTGTGCGTCTAGTATGGAAACCCCTGGCGAGTAAGTGCGACTGTGAGCCGTGGGAATTGCCCCAGTCACAAAATTGGATTCAGTAATCAAATGGCGAATTGGACAAACGTCGTGTCGTTATCGTCCGAGACTCTGTAATACAACAGGAAACTTTTTTAAAACAAACTAGTCCTCTTCTAGACTAGGGGCAACGAAAAATACTTTATGTAGGTAGGTACATATTAATACGACGTTCATTTAAAGTGGAGGTTTTATATTGGAAGTTGAACGCGTGTCTCATCTGATGTCTGTTGCTATTCATTATTTCTATTTAAAATCTATAGTATTGGGTTTTACACTGACGAAAACAGAGGATGAGCCGTGAGTAGTTGTACTAGCAACAATTAGACTGATGACGCAGTTTGATTATGAATACACCACCTAGTTCACTAATTAAATGCTATTTAGACTATTCCGATTCATTAGTTTCGATTTCTAGAATCAAATACTAAATTTTCCATTTGAAAAGACGCTTACTTGGAACTTAGATGTCGACGTCCAAAAATCGTGTTTGAATATGACTGAATATTCTAGAAAACACGTTGTCAAACATGTCGCCAGTGAAACGTTTACGTTTTGAATTTTATAAACCTGTGGATTTTACTCGGGCGTTTTATGGTCAAAGTCTAAGCGTTTATTTCAAGTGATACGTCGTACAACCACTTCTGAACAGTCAAAATAGGATTGTTCGACGTATTGTCAGCTTCAGACTAAATCATCATAAATTTACACATTTTTTATTTTTTATTGTGTGTATGAAAGTAAGCCTAATTACCAAATATCTTTAGGTATGTTTTCCTGCTTCAGTAGTAGGAGGCTTAAGACAATCTATCGTATCATTTACCTAGCTGGAAAAACAATATAAAGTATATTAAACTATTGTTAATACCTTATTAATGTAATAGAAACAAAATTGAACTCAAAGGTGAACCAAAGAATGTATTTTAGTAAATAAAACAAACACTATTATACACCAACATATAAAAAAATCGAGATGACGATGATTAACTATCTATTTTAAGAAGCAATTTAGGTGTTTTAAAGTATACACAAACGTAAAAATAATGTGTGAGGACCCGTGTTAGTTCATTTCGTAGTAAGTCTTTTGAGGAAGAAACAGACAAACGGCAAGTGTCTGTAACAATTAGTTTCATAAATGAAGAGGAGGAGTGTTGAATGTGAAAAGTGATTAAAAACTTTTTGGATGGTTAATTAAGACGAGTACAATTTATTTTTGTTTTTAAAAGAGTAACTATGGAGTTTATTGCTCGTTCTTTTGCATTCGAATCTTGAATTTGGAACGAGCACCTAGCTTCACAGACGAACAGACTGACAGACTACTATTTAAAAGCACCTATTTATGTTTAAGTTGGAATAAATGATTTTGACTTTTGACTTTGATTCTATATGGGTATATGGGTGTTATCACAGGTTAAACTTTCTGTAAGTATCATAGAAAAAAAAGCATAGCAAAAACAAAAAAAAGTTGCAATAAGTGATGATGTTATCCCTATTGGATAAACAGGAATACGTTGATGATCAATAAACCCACAACCAAAGGAAGGTTTGCGTATAAAAAACATACAAAATAATCAATTTGCGAGTTGCTTCTGTCTACGTAGCTTTTTTTAAGGAACTTTAAGGTACTAGACGAATGGTCCAACCCAATGGTAATCACTGTGCGGATACAGTCAAATCTTAAAAACTACGCAATTTTCATGCGGTTTTTTAATAGATCGAGTGTTTGGTATAGAACTTTTCCTTCTAGAAAGCGTTCATGGTTTTCATATCGTAGTGAAGCATTTATAGAAAAAAAAACAAAATGGAATGTACTTACCTATTTGTAAGTGAAATAATTATGTACCTACTTACTGCAGGTTTATGGTTGGCACTATGTTTTTTTTACAATTAATTTAATAAGATATTACAAAGAAAACCTAATTAGACAACACATTGAAGGGTAATTTACTTGTTGAAAAATAACGAAATTGGTACTATTCGAAAACAACAAACTAAATCTTCAAAAGATTGAGTACCTAATTAAAATTTAATAAATTTTACAAATACCTGATTAAATATTCAAAAAAATTTAAAGATATATGTATATACAGTGCCGGCATAAGGGCCACTGACACCCCGGGCGAAACTATATTGGCGCCCACTTCAGGGAAGCAATATCAAGTGTTAGTTTTTGCTGATCATATTGATATCGTTAGAGTTACTCCTCGACCACAAACCCTCAAACAATCCATCTAAAAAAATATGCATATGCACAGAGCGTAGAGCACAGTTCTGAGGGTTTGCACCAGAAGAGGCAGGAGACTCCAACTTCAGACCCTGGCGCCCCCCAGAATTTGTCGCGCTGGGCCATTGCCCCATCACGCCCCCCCCTCCCTCCCTAACGCCGGCACTGTGTATATAGTACTAACTTAATTATCTTTACCCTCATAACTTCAATTTAAAACAACTTCATTATAACATACTACTATGGTAATATAAAATAGGTGATTAGTTTTGTTCTTTAATTGTGCAAGTCTTCAGAATTACTGCTTCAAATTAGACAAATCTTTGTGAGTTCATTAGTTCATTTACAGAGGAAGGTTAACCTTTAAAATATGATACTTCAACCTATAGGAGCCAAGCAGCCGCAGCAGTTACCCAAAGTAAAAATTTTAAGGATTATTACTGCATTGGTTGTAAGTTGGATATGTATATGGACATTTCAAGAGTTTGGATATTTTTGTAAATGTATGTAATAGGTAGTAAGGTGCTTTAAGAAAGAAACATAAAAGCATACATTGGTAATTATAGAAGACTTAAAAAGCAATGAATCTATCTATTTAGTTAAAGGAACTACATAATTTTTATTATGTATGAAATAGTGAGTGTAGTCTTTTTTTTTAAACTAATGAGCATATTAAATTTATATCACTTTCATTTCAAAGGCCAATTTTCCTTATACAGAGAATGCTTGGTTCCAACTAGTAATAACTAAAATAATTATTAAATAGTTGAATGTAAATTGCATATAAGTAATCTATTTAAGCCACGCCTCCATTTTAGTCAGTGACTGAGCGAGTTAAGCATAGTAGAATGCTCCTATTCAGTAGTAAATCAAATTTGCTACCTCTTAAATCGAAAATATCTAGCGCTGTCTGCTGCTTCAGTGAAGAAGAGAGATATGTGTATTATTTATAAGCACCAATAATCTAAATTTACATGAATATAATATTACATATATACAAAAAAATAGGACTATGAACAACAAGTTTGTAAGAATGGATTGATGATTGTTCCTTTCTTTGTTATGTTTAAACTAGTGAAAAGATTTTTATGAACATTGGAACAGGAGTGGATAACAGGATAGAATAAAACATGGGGTACCTTGCATCAAGGTACAGAAGATGCTGGCAGAAAGTAGTAGTGGTAAGCATTTATGATGATGAAATGAGATTAAATTTTTTGTCTTAAGTATGTCTTTTTCTTAAAAATATACCAATTTTGTAATGTGACCTTGGTTTTAATGAAATGAGACAATTCTTAGTGCTCTCAATCTACTCTTACATAAAACTTACCTCATTCTGGTCAAGTTCTTGAAGGTATCTATCATTGTGCTGTTTCTCATACATAGCCCGGGCAAGAGCACTACGGGGCCTATAGAACCCATTGACTCCTGAACCGCTCGTCATTTTGTCTTTGTCTATGTTACTGCCACGCACTCTTACACCAGCTTGCGAGTACTTTGGACTTAAATGACTGATTCCATCTCTTGAAGAGTATTGTTGACAAACCTTCGTATAATAACAGTTCAGGTGAGATTTATATTCAGCTTTAACAGTCAATATGTAATGGATAATGACTGAATAGCATATAAGTCTAATAATAAGGTGCATTTAAGGTGTTTAGCATTGTTTTTTTAGTATCTTCTGAAGATCAATCAATGCCAATTATTTTTCTGAAATAACCTCACTTATATTTTGTTTCTATTGTTTTATTAATAGCAGACCTCATTGAATCATCGTAGTTAAACTTTATAGATCATAATCCTAGCACTTTTTGTATATTTGTTATAAAAAAATCTATAAAAACGATCAAAACATTACTTTTTGTCCTGAATGTCAAATTTAATTCTGTCAGTCAGACGTCGCTAGAGGGACTGAAGTCAGTTGTAAGTGTTTATGAAGTTGGATATCATATAAAATGTTGTTTCAAATCTGTGTCTTTTCTTACATTTATCGTGTTAATTAGGTTAATGTATTATTTTATAAAATATATGTACATAATAGAAGTGAACTGAATCATAAGCGATTTTTTAATAAAATATATGTTTTTGTAGATACCGTAGCTATCTTTGTAAATGCTTATCGTTGACTTCACAGAGAAATATAGTTTGATCTTTCACGTTTCATGTAAGTTTTTTCACTGAATATAATGACATAGATTTATTGTATTGATATCATTTTTTTAATATTATGTGTAGGTGTACCTATACATTTTATACCCACCTAGGTAAACACAGACACACATCAAGCTATCCGAAGCTAACGAATCACGTTGATAGCATTTCAAACTTTAATACCTTGACTTTAAGTCTAGAATTGATTGAAGACATTTGACATATTGGGCAGCTTAATGGGCAGGTGTCTCTACCGATTTATTGAGTGATTTATACATCAATAAATTGCTATAAAACTGATTTTAAAGTACTGACCGTATCCGCTTTAGCTTCAACCGAAGCTTTTGCGACAATTTCTCGAAGCACCAAATTCATCATCTTTCTTTCACTTAATGGGTAACGGTTTTCCAGTCTAATATAGGTCTCAGTCCAACTTAACTTGCTGCGTCAACAGTTCTGAAGAACTTCTGAAGGTAATTTATCAGTTCCAACAGTACAACATTAACACCCACTGTAAGTATTTATAGTAAACTTCCCTGAACACGGTGAAAGGCTATTTTAATTATTATTTAAGATAAATAAACTCAGAATTTCAGTTCGGCCTTGGCCGTGACCGACCGTTCACTGTCTCAACGCTGCGCTTGACCACCTCCGATAGTTCGGGAAGCCGTTATACTTAGGAACTATTTTTATTGTTGAAAGGTTTACTTCATTTTGTAATAAAGTACTTGCAAGTACCTGTTTACTCTCCCATTGTGAGCCAACAATTAATTAATCTGCCATTGTGTAGCAAGCTATTGACAATGTTTTTTAATGAATAAGTATTGGTATCTTGTAACTGAGTCATTATAAAATTCACGTACTTTCTTTCCTAGTTTTTTTTGGGTGTAATTAAATTTGAAGAAAGTTGATCTTTACCTTAAGAAAACCCTTTCGTTTGAAGTGGGTAGTGGTTCCAGATCTCTTTTTAATAGACACTTGGTAACGAAATGGTGTGGAGGTTCTTTATTAGTGTCAGACTATTAACTAACTTAAAACCACCCCATTTCTTCTTCAGCTTCAAGCCGCGCCCGCGTTACATTATTGCGCGTAGGTACTTACATAAATTTGCGATGATTTTTCCACTTTGAAAAATGCCCAGTGGCAGTTAAATGAGGAGGATGCTGGAGAGTGAATGATACTACCTTCTTCCCTTAGTTAGATAGTAGAGTACAAGGGCCGACCCGAGACAGGTAAAAGACCTTTTACGATGTCTGGATAGCTACATCTTAATATAAGTTTGATTGCATTCTATTTTCAGATAGATTTGAAAATAGAATGCAATTTGTACTAATTTTGTGTGTGTAATTTGTGATTAGTTTTTGTCTCGTCATACAAGCGAATCAATGAAAACTGTCGGTTGACAAAATCGTGTAAGTAGGCACATCGATAAAGCGAAGGGCGGTTTTTAGTAACTACCTTAATGTTGACTAATTACTAGAATAATTAACGACGTTATGATTGAATTTGCTTTGAAAAGTAAGAAAAAGGTGCAACCTATGTTAGCAAGGTACGTAGGTTATATATAGGTACCAAAATGTTTGGTACGGGTATCTAACTAAAGCTGTAATAAGCATTTGGGTAGGTTTGGTTCATGGCTTAGATATTGGGCATTTATGCACTAAGTTAAGTAATATTTAACGTTCAATTATAGTACCTACGTAATGTGGCAGCAACTTCGATAAAGACTCAATGAGAAAATGTAACCGACTAATTTTCTACAAGACTGTCACGTGGTCCACAAAAAAGCGCGATAAGAGCATGGTAACAGAACAACTTCACGTTTATTATGATATATCAATACACATTGTCAAAATAGAAAAAATATAAAACAAAAAAGCAAAGTACTCACTCACACTATTTCGAATTTCAGGCACTCTAGGCTGGAAATAACTTGGTCTGGACATTGTAAAAAAAACTAAATTCTAAATTCAAGAATTGACGTGAATTCGATTATTACGATCGCCTTGAAGTGAGCGTATAGATAAAGGCTGTTGATATTAACGCCAGTTCTGACTTATTTCTTATTATCTGCCTAGAATTATAAATTCAGATAACAATGGCGGCTCTAGATAAATATTGCGCCGATAAGTGGCTGTATTTTTTTTTCTAGTGAAATGGTATTTAGGTGATTTTGTTCATATGTAGGTTTATTGGTTGCAAAAATTACCGCTGTTACATTTGTTCTTGTGTATTATGTCATCTGTATTCCCCCTGAAAACCGAAGAAACCTAATTGACTGGTACAAATTCAATTCATAAGAATTTTATAAATGTCAATTTTGATCATAATTATAACCATCACTAAAGGGTAAATTAACCTCGTAGCTATTATACAGTTACTAACTCTCGGTATTTTATTTTTAAGCTGCAAATTAGAAAAGTTTATCATTATTGATCGCTAGTATAGATAATATTTTATTGTCCAACTTTGCTGTAGATTTTGTTACATAACCTACCTCAAGTATAATTTATTATCTTTAAGATCTAAACTGTAGATAACTTCGTAATTAGAAAATATTACAGGTCTCTACGTCGTCGACTAATTATAAAGGTCTATAAAAAGCAAAGCAGGTAACACAACACAGCTAACTGTTTATATTAATAAATCTTGTTTGTAATAAGGTCAATTAAAGTTTATAAACTATAACTACCGAGCGTGTTGCAATTTGCTTTGTTTCGTAATATTAAAGAAAATTTCAACAATGCTTGATCCCACTTTAAGTTGTAATATTTTAATTAAAAAAGTACTGACTGTGTGTAAAGTTTTGTTCAATATGGATCCTCAATCACGCGCGGATTGCCCGAAGCAATGCGCTGTGAGCGGGCGCATCGGCCCAGACGCACGCGGGACATTTAAAATAATTACAAGCCATCGGAGAAACGTAACAGCCAGTGTTTTGAGACCATTACTTATTTTTTAATTCAAAAAAATATTTTTAAAAGCACACACTTAGTCCTCTTTGGTGCAATGCGGTCAATAAATGAGACTATTACAAGTTTTTGGTATAATTTTGTTGCACTAAATTTATATTATTATTGGAGCATTTTCGGTGAAATAATTGCACGTTGAGGATGTGCAGTATGGGTGTCTTAAAGGTCGAAACCTTCCTTTTAAATGGTTCATGTAAAAAGGTTGAGGAAATTAGATCGGTTAAGGGTTTCGCATTTTGTATTTTAGTTTACTATAAAGATCGTAACAGCGTCAGTGTCTATGGATTATTTTTGACAATGTCGACATGTTCTTGACTGTTAATTTGCATATATATGTAGGTTCTACATTTTATGTCAAGTATATTAAGTTAATAAAAATAGCTAACCCACTGCTAGACTGATCAATAAATCTCTATAACGACATAGAGGTGCATGTTGTCAAACCATTCTGTATGACACAAAACGAAACGAGGTATGAGCTTTACATATATATACATGTTATTATACTTACGTGCTGTAAGTATTCGTTTGTTTTATTTTAACCAATCATTGGTTCGTTTAAAAACCAAGGTGATCTGAAACAAAACCAAATGGTCGGTTTAATTTAAATCTGTGCACGTAGTTTTTGCACCCCCAACCGCATTCTCACAGAGCGGCCGAGACTTGATGCACTTCACTTCTGATTGGATCATTACCGAGTTCATCATACCCCGTGCGATCCTCGGGCCTAGACAGAGACGGATGTATCCCGGCCACCAACTAAAGACAAAGACAAACACAACCCGCCGAGCACATCGTTCAGAAATTATTTCATATCATGATTATTGGAACTTTATTGCACTTCGTAACTAACAATTGACATTAGGAAATGCAATTTCATATTGATTTCGTAATATCGTCTCTCGTTTATTTTTATCAATGCGGCAAATCTTTCTATGATTTGCGGCTAACCATCCTCGGGCATGTTGGTTGTTTTCTTGTGGCTTCACGTTCCGAGAAAATGTCATTAAAAGCTCTATAGGGGATTAAGCCGGTTTAAATTTTCACGTAGCCCGGCAGGAAATCGGTTTAGCCGTAACAAAGGGTGGGAAGATACCGAGAAATTATCTTTCGTCGGAATACAAACCGCTAAACGTGCAATTACAGCGTTACAGATGGAGCATTAAGTTATCAAAAAATAATAATGTTTCACACCGGCCGGAAGGTGTCGCTGGCATCACGTCCGCTCGCCACAATCACTCGCTCGTCACTGATTTTGATTTCGGCCCCGAATATACTCATTATTCATCACGTTTCTAATAAAATTCGTCAGTGGAGGCATCTGTTGTCTTGCGTAACCGCATTTATTGCCGTTAATGGTCCCTTTCTTAGGTAATGTTAATTTGTGTCAGAGCAGCCGCCACTACAGTAACTCGATTCGTTTACTCGTGCGTGTCTACCACGAATAGGTATCGCGCAAATATTCGTGACACTTCACTACTTAAATAAATTTCTCCAAAATCGATAGTAGAAGGCGTATGGCGTATGCGTACCTATTGCATAGGGCCCTACTTAATATTAATTGCTTGGTTTCCGCAACCAACACAACCTTGATGCAATAAGTAAGTTGCCTGCCTTCTCTTTCTTTTTTACGTTAGGAACCACTGAAGTATTAAATATTAAAACTAGGTGGTATGAAAAAGATAAATTTGCATTTTGATAACAAACCTTATCGATTAACAAGACTACATATTATACAGTAATCGACAGTGAATCGATTACCCCT